ACACTCCTAGCCTAACTTGGGGTTTGAATATAGAATTTAAATAAGATATTACACACTTATTTAAATATCTAGAACCTAAAACTCACACTTAAGATAACCACTCTTAAGATATAGAATTAGGGATTTGGCTAAAATAGCATCACACTATTTTATAAATACTCAAAGAGTAAAAGGAGTTTTTAATATTCAAAAGATGTGTTACATTTGGCCATAGGGCCTGATTTATATAGGGAGAGGGGAAGGGGGAAATACATAGTACAAAACATGAGGAAACTTCCTCGGAGCAACTAATTCACACACATGTGATAATACCCATTTATTCTTGTCTCCTTAATGGAAAGAAATCAGATGTTTCCAATGGGATTGATAATCGATTGTGGGGAATGATAATCGATTATTTGGCAGAATTCTGGGCAGGAAGAAGGGTGTTTTTGTGGGGGAATGGACGGGAAATATATGGAGTTGATGAGGGAGTTATTTTGGGTATTTTAATTGGAAGAAAAGAGTGAGATTAAGAGGAGAAATGGGGGGATATGAAATGGAAGAAAAATCAGGGATGGATAAACCAAGTTGGTGTTTAAGAGATATTACACACTCTTAGTGATGTACCCCGGGATGCTCCTACAAGCACGGAGGTTACACCACAAACCATAAAACAAATCAAAGGGTTAATATCTAAGTTTTATGATCCTTTTTGGGCTGAACTCATTAACCTTTCGTACCCTAAAACCCAAACCATAACCCTGCTCCTCCAAAGCTCTTCTTGATATCAAGCCTTTCCATATCCTTTCCAAATATCCAAAGTCTTTTATTTCCATTTAATAAACAAAATAAAGTCCTTTCTCTTCTTTTTATCCCTGAACGAAAATGAGGTCAGAAGGACAAGCCTTGTGTATTATTTCTACTTCTGCTGTTCCTTTTAATTAAAATAAAACCTCCCTTTCACTTCCCCACTTCAAACCCACGAATTTCCCAACTCTTTTACCCAAAAACCAGGCCACATTATGTTCCACAAAACAAAAACAAAATCAGGAAAAAGTTTTCCTTTGATTTTGTCCTGTTGTTCAAAACCCAATCCCATTCATATCCTTCAGCATATGACCGAATTTCCCACTCCAAATATCCATAAACACAACTCCATTTACCAAGGATAAAGATAAAAACATCAAGGAACCAAAATCAGTGATTGAATAGTGCAAACTTTGTCACATTATCCTTAATTGTCAAAGTTTCAATTTTCCTTGATTTCCTTCTCACATGGCAGGAATTAATGAACCATACTAAGCCAAAATCCCAGCCTTTTAATCTCCTTTTCCTGGTCAATGAGTGCTGCCCACTAAGAATAATAACACATGGATATTAATCACATGATTTGTAATTTCCCTTATTTTTGCATTATATATTTCGGCCATGAGGCCTTGTAAACATCATCTCATTTTCATTATCAATATTACTCTTGAAGTAATCCCTGAATTGGTGTGAAGCTTGTTCAATCCATTTCCTAATGAAATATCTCTAAAGTTTGCTACTTTTGAGTGTGTGTTAGGAGTCTATTTAATACTTTAATAGTGATTATTATAGTATAAAATAGATAATAGCCCCAAATATATATAAAGAGTGTGTTTATCTCTTACATATTATTTGGTTTATCCTTTATACAAAAACCACAAAACATTTCCCTTCTTTTCTTCTATTTCTGATCCTGAACCCATAAATAATCGATTATCATT